GTAAAACCTCCAATAGTTTAAAATTTATGAGCCTTTGGACAGGGGCTGGGCTCCAGTCGACTTCTGGAGTATTCTGCATGGAAAGGACTTTTGAAGAAAATTAATAGCTTGCCAAACAAATAGCAAAGGGAATGCACACTCTATTTAAGGATGGTGCAGTTCTAGCCCTTAACAAACACTCATGCATCCGCAAACAATTCATATGCTAATTCCTAATGATTTTTACATGTTCATTAAGTCCCCAGCTACGGCTATTTATCGATATGATTATTACGGTTTGAGCTGCTTCAAAGACAAGGTTTTACGCTGATCACGGACTTCTTAGGTACAAACTTTTTGAGGCCGACAGATTAACAAAGGAATTAAAGGGACACCTAACAATGTGACTCTCCTTTGTGGGGATAAGAGCGAGGTCTCCCTGCATGTCTTTGACATTATTGATTCCTGGAGTGTGGGGGCGTGTTCTGCCAAGTACTGTATGCCCAGGTCTGACTGTGCTGAGCTTGTTTTGGTTTTCTTAGGATCATCCCTGTTGAAATTTTCATTCTAAATAGTTATCACATTCCCGCCTCCTTCTCTTTCTCCCTCCTTCCCCCTCCCAGCCTCTTCCCCTCTGTGTGTGTGCTCATGTGTCTCTCTGTTTTACTCAGCTTCAGCTGTCAACCTGACACATCCCAGAGTCTCCTGGGAAGAAGAGGCGGTCTCAATTTAGGAACTGCCTCCCTCAGATTGGACTGTAGGCAAGACCTCTGATGGCATTTCCTTGATTGATGATTGATAAAGGGTACAGACCACTGGGGGTGGGGCCATCTCTGGGATTGCGGTCCTGGATTCTTTAAGAAAGCAGGCTGAGAAAGCCATGAGGAGCAAGCCAGTAAGCAGCATCCCTCCATGGTGTCTGCATCAGCTCCTGCCTCCTTGTTCCTGCCCTGCTTGAGTTCCTGCCCTGACTTCCCTCAGTGATGGAGTGTGACTTGGGAGTGTAAGAGGAAACACCCTTTTCCCCAATATCACATATGATCAGCCCCTTTTCTCCCCCTCCTCTTGGTTTCTTTCTTACTTTTCCTTCCTCCTCATCCCCTCTCTCGGGGTCTCACCATGCCATTCAGGCTGATGTGAGCTTAGAATCCTCCTGCTACAATGACCTGAGTGTTGCACTACAGGTGTCCACCACCAAGCCTGGGCTCCCTGTTTTGTTCTTAAAGAATTATTGATGTGAACTATAAATTACATAATCACTATAGATTTGATAAAACTCAGAGTGAGGATTATGACATTTAAAAAAGGGAGGGGGAGGAGTTTAAGACTGCCAGTACCCGATGTGTTCTATACAAACCAAAGGCTATTCTTTGTTCTTGTTCTTTTGAGACAGGATTTCTCTGTAGCTTTAGAGCCTGTCCTGAAACTCACTCTGTAGACTGGGCTGGCTTCAAACTCACAGAGATCCGCCTGACTCTGCCCTCCCCCCTAGTGCTGGGATTAAAGGTGTGCACCACCGCTGCCCTGCTTCATAGGATATTCTATAAGGGGTTTATGGATCAATTCAGAATCCAGATTTCACTGTGCCCCACCCCCAACTCAACAAGCAGAGAGGAAAAGAGCAACTCTTTCATGCTGGTTGATCTCAGCTAGAATCGCTGAGAGGGGCCTCTGGGAAGCCCATGGGAAATGACCTTCATTAGATTTGTGGAAGTGAGAAAACCACCACTGTGGGTGACACCATTCCCTAGGTTCGGGCTGTAGGAGGAAATAGCTGAGCCTGAGTGTTATCACTCTGTCTCTGGCTATGGAGTCAGCGGGATCAGTTGCCTGCAGTTCCCACCCTCTTGAGTTCCCCACCATGTGGTTCTAGACCCTTGAACTATGAGTTGAAATAAACCCTTTCTCACTTGAGTTTCTTTGGGGGGTATTTTATCACAGTAATAGGAAGAAAAATTAAGCCACTTACATGGAGGGGGAGCTATGTGTGGTTATCCCTACTTGACCTCACATGTATCAATTTCACCTGAATTTAGTAGCCTGTCCAGAGCTGAACTTTCAAAATGTCAATTGTCAGCATTATTTGAGAGAGAGATGAAACAGAACTAGAGAGTTTGTGTTTCCTTTTAGCAACCATGAGCTTCCTTACAGGACAAAGGTTCTATCGAGCAAGCACTGTATGCCACTCACATTGTAGAGTCTCACCTGGCTCAGTCCTCACACAGACTGAGGTAGTGATAGGTGCAGATCTTATTTTCAGACTGGAAAACATGTTTGGTGAGGTAAAGATTCTTGGTCAGGAAGCCAAAGATCCAGGACAGGACCCCAGGTTCTCTGACGCATCAGTAACTTGAGCAATGACTATGGTGCCTAGCATCTCACTATGCTCTGCCATCCCGGCATTTGAGCCAGACATCTACTTGAAATTTGATGCTATGCGTGATAAAAACTCTTGCCTCATCAAGAATGCCTCACACGAGGGGTGGGCAGGGGAGGGGCCAAGGGTGCATTCTGCTTAGAAAGCAATTGTCTGTCATACACATGTTGCTGGGGAATCAACAGCTTAAAATGCATACCTCAGTCCTGGTACTAAATTACCTTCAGCCAGAGACTTACCATATCCTAGAGAGGTTCATCCAGGGGAGGGACCCTCATCTACAATCGAATATTAAGTGTGTAACCAACAGGATTGGATAGTGGTTCACCCACACCTCCCAGATCGTCCCACAGTCATGAGTTGGCGTCGATCCTCTGACTGAACTGGGCTTGGTTCAAATAACTAAACATTTCTGATGAGAACAAGTCCATAGCTTGTCTCAAAAGGAGTCACTGCTGAAGCTATGCAGCATCTTTCTCCTTTTTCCTTCTAACAGCTCAGCTTTGGACACATGCCATTCCCAACCTCCAGGGGATACAGAACACGGGAAGGGAACCGGAACTGCCCACTGATGCTGCATGCAGCTGATGTGAGTGAGAATGGGGATAATTCGGTCTTACATTTAGTCTGTTGAAACAAAACTAAGCCCAGGCCTTTCTGCAATCTCTACCTGGGATTAGGTAACACATCCACAGACTAGAATGTGTTCTACAGAAAGGTGCTGTCAATCATAGAAGTATTCTTGTATAATATCAATCAAGAACTCTGACATAAACTTCAAGGGTGTTGTCACGGAGGTTAGAAACCCAGGACATTAAAACACATCAAGGGCGAGAAAATACAGAACTCTTGTAAAAAGCCATACACAGATGAAATTAAAATGAATAAAAACTGTAGGGCTAAGATGTCTCTCAGTCAATTCATATGATCAAAGCTATTGGCAAAAAAAGGTATGTTGGTTGATTCAGACAGACAGACAGACAGACAGAAAGAACCATGAAGGTTCCATGTGTGGTTATATTAGGGACATTTTTTTCTAAATTAAAACAGCATCAAGAACCTGTTTTCCTTCCCAATGTACTCCTAAATTAGATAGAAAACTGTGGACCAAATACTTCTGTCACCAGACAAATCCCCCCTGGTCCCTCTATCCAAGGCCATTGTCGCTGGCCAGTGCAGCACTGATGTGCCAACAGCAGAAGCAAGAAGGTGAAGCCAGCGGCAGAAGACCAGGAAGATAAAAGCGCTGACGTCAAACTCTACAAAGAACCTCTGAACAAGCAGACGCGCACCGGCTTTAATGACACTTGGTGTCACACTCCCCCCTCCAGCTCCTATCAATGGGCTTTACCCCTCTCCTGTGCAGAAATTGGCCTCTGCTTACAGGCTCCACATTCTGCTGGTCTCTCCTGCTTCCCATCCATCCATTCCCCACATAGGATGCTCCGTTTGTCTAAAGAGCTGTCTGAGCCTCACTGTAACAAAGAAAAGTTCCTGGGTGTGGGTTTGCTCTTTTCAGATATTCTTCTCCAATCAACCTTTGTCGACCCCACACTAGCCGGAAAGTTCAGTCTTAGTTGCTGCTAGACCAGGCATTCTGTCAGCGTCTCGTTCCCAGACATGTTTTCAATCTATTCCCTAATGCTGCCTGCCAGGGTTAATCAATCCTGCGAGTGGTCTCCCCCAAGATCCACTTCTTCCCTGTAACTCAGAACCACTCAGCCAGCAGCACCAAGAGATGAGTTTTCATACAGCCTTGATTTTCCCTGACGAGGGCACAGCCTTCATCTCAAACTCTTCTAAACCTAACGATCTAAGAAAACACTGGGTTTTCCTCTGCCATGGAAGGCTTCTGTGTATCCCACCCCCACAATTCTTCTTCACCCTGCATCCTGTTCTCTTTTTTTTTCCTACCTCTTATTTCTTCCCTTATTCTCTCCTCCAATCATTTTTTAGTACTACCCCAGGAACACAACTCATTCCAAAGTTCAAAGCCACCAGATTCTGAAAAATAAAACAAAACTTCCACAATTACTCTCATGCTGACTTTGAGCTCACAGTCTCGGCTTTGGATGCTGGATAGGAAAAAAAAAATCAACACTAGCAGCAGCCTCAGCGAAGCATGGAGGAGGGTGCTGTTTTGGGTGTATTTGAAGGAATAGCATATGGGCTTTTGTCAAACGTTCAGAGTCCAGAGCCCAGAGCCCAGAGCCCACTAGTTTTGGAGTTGAGGTTTAAAATACACTGAGCTGAGTTCATGTTTTGTACAGCTTCCCCCCAAAACCTCAAATCCCCCACTGCTTTGCCTCCCCAAACCTATGGGGTTGGTAATAGCTGGAAAAGTTTTCAGTCAAGTACATAGCCGAGCCACACCGCCCACCCTAAGAAAGCAAAGGGGTTTTTGCATAGGAGGTGTGGAGTCTGTGGGAGTGTTGTTCCCTACCAAAGAATTCCTGTCCCCTTTCAACAGCCTTTTCCTACCCAAACGAATATCCCCCGTGTTCCAGCGTGAGATAATGGGTATGATGGGCATGGTCCAGGCACCCTAACCCAGGTGCCTGAGTCCACCTGTCAAGATTTGGGGGCGCAGGCAATAAAAAAGGGGGACCTTCCAGTGTCTCCAGCTCACGAACGAGGTCATTACCTTGGCAGCGGCTTGCGGGCTGTGATACTGGCAACGATGATGCTCTCGGGACGTGGAGTGGCCACCGCTTTGAAGGTCCCTTTCCAGAACTTCTCGAACAGCTGTTTCTCACCCTGCTGAAGGCTTGCCATCCTGAAAGCCCAAGGAGTCCGAGCGACCGGGGCGCTGTCCGAAGTGCTGAAATGTGGAATCCAAACCCGATGGCACGCCCAGGGCTCCGGGGCGCTGTCCGCGTGAAACCCCTAGGGGTGGGGTGGGGAGATATCAGAGTTCTGTGCGCGGGCGGGGGGGGGGGATGGGATAGAATGGGACGTCTCAGGCTGGCCAGGCAGCGGAGATTGAAGGTGGTCCCCCGGCTGGGTTCACCTCCAGGCTCGGTTCTAAGCTGCGCTGGGAGCCGGCTGAGCTCCGCGTTCTCAGCAAAGCAAAGCTGGGCCGGCTTTCTCTACCGCGCAGAGAACAGAGAGGAGGAGACCCGGGGCGTCTGCCGTGCGTGCGCGTGTGAGCTCCAGCGCGCCCGGGTTTTGTCTCTTGCACAATGTGACGTTGGAAGAGGAGGCTGGTCGCGCGAGCTGTACTTTCCTCCCTCCCCTTCTCTGTCTCCTCCTTCCCCAGCAACCCCTCCTTCTGTGGTTCAGCCTCCCGCCGCCATCTGCATAACAAAAGCCCGCAGGTCTGGGGAGGAGAAAGGGCGGGGCGTGCGCTTGTCTCCTAGGCCTGGTGGCCACTGAGTTGCTGTTCTGACCCTTCTAAGAGACCCCAGCACCGGCAACAGAACCAAACTGGACATCCTCGTCCCAGCACATCCTCGTCCCAGCCCTCACCCGTCCGTCGTCGTGGGCCTTCCCCTCAACCCTTGCAAGCGTACTCCCGGGGGCTGGGCCACCTCCCTATGCAAGACTCAGAGCGCATCTTCCGTTGAGGGAGCTAGTGAAAACAGCCCCACCTATCCATCCACGCCAACCTGCCTTCACCCTCCCCACTTCTGGGAAGGACTGCTGAGGTTTGCAAAGTGGGAGTGCCTACTCTCTTTATGCCTGGGGGCCGTGGGCTCCCCCCTGTCCCCCATCCAGAAAATGCCATTTGATGGACAATCCATCGCCAGCATGGTTTCTCGCCATCTGTCGAGTCGGCCCCCACCCGCAGAGGGGCGCAGCGTCACATCTGTGCCTGCGGCGCTGTAAAGGATATCTCTTTTGTGCCTTGCAGCCGGCCAGCCTCGCGTCCCCGCTGCCAAAGCCCGTACCCCTCCCCCACCCCTTCTCCCCACCCCCTGAGAACCCGCAGCTTGTGTGTGAAGCGGCAGTCCAATTTAGCAAAGAAAGCACTAGGGAAAGGAGGTGTGTGTGTGTGGGGGGGTGAGGATTACAAGGAGTTAGTAACTTTTAGGTTTTTCCATCTTCTACCTCCCCACTTCCCCTCAATCCCAGCAGAGGCGCAGAATCTCAAACTCCAAAAACGTAGGATGTAGACAACAATGTTTTACCTTAGGGTTCTCCTTAGGGAACACATCCCAGGGGGATGAATCCTCCAGCCAGTTTCTCTCTTGGAGCCTTTTAATACTTGGCATAGAAACCACTTTCGCCTACCTCCAGAGTTTGAAACTCCTAGAAGGCGCCTTCACTAAGTCTTAAGGACCTCCAAACACTGACACCGGGTCCCACCCTGAAGAGGGAAAAGAAAAATCTGTAATTCTTGTGGACCCAGTAACAGTGTGGACCGAAGACCCCCAACATCAGTGTGGACTTCGTAAATTCTTTTCAAGAGTAGGAGGTACAGAGACCGGTAAAGGGGGAAGAGGAGAGAACAAGATAGGGCGAGAAAAGTCAGAACACAGGAATAAAGGAACGAGTATTGGTCTGGAAAAGGCTGCAGGATGGGTTTGTGTGAGATAGATGGCTGTGTACTGGTTTAGGAGTGCCCGGGGCTCTGCTCGCTCCGCAGTGACCCCTTCTGGTCAATAACTAGAAGTGCATTTGTTGGCTTTTATAGGCGGGTATAGAGGGGCCAGAAGTTGAGCTGGGCTTGGGGGGCTTGGGAGATATGAGGAAACAGAAAGGTAAATTGGGGCGTGAACTTCCACTTCCCTCTCCCTGTTCCACGGCATTCAAAATCCCAATTCTTAGACTGCCTTTAGTCATTACCCTCCCTTAGTTTGCTGTCACTTTTAAATGCCAGACAGCCAGCTCCTTCCTTAGTCATGACATTTGGGTATGAACTGAGTCACTTTCAGGAAACAGAGGTAGGTGGAGCCTAACCTCCATCCATCAACCTTTTAGAGGTGTACCTGCCCTTTAATCGAAAGGATTTATTTTATCCTTAGTGTGGAAGTGTGTGGTGTATGCCACATGTGAGGGGGTTTCAATGAAGTCAGAAAACGGGGCCAGATTTATCCAGGAATAGAGTTAAAGGTGGTCCCAATGTGGGGTCTGAGATTTGAACTCTGGTCCTCGGGAAAAGCAACAAGCACTCTAAACCATGAAGCCACCTCCCCAGCTCAACTATGCCCTCTCTTCTTACCTGGTATCTCAGAAAAGCTCCCAGTTGGGCATCCTTGCCTCTTTGAAAACCCTGAACAGCCAGGTGGGGTGGGAGAGGACTCTTCTCTTACTGGTGTGAGGCTGAGGAAGCAGAAGTTTAGGATGGCCAAGTGGTGTGCCCATGCGCCTCTATTAGAATAGAGGAACTATGGGGGAAATACAGCGTTTGGGTGTAGGAGGGAATTCTGGGGATAGTTGGCTTCCCACACTGGAATTTTGCAGTCTACCAGACACCAGCTAGCCCATGCTTAGAAGCACACAGTGGTTTCCAAGTTGTGCACCTCTTCTAATGAGACAGGGCTTAGAACCCAGACTGACAGTCTCAGCCCTGTCATTTCTAGTTGGATAAGATTGAAGGAGTGTCCTCAATGGTTGTATTAGTTGTCTTGTTACTGGGACCAAATCCACAGCAAGAAGCAAACTAAGGGAGGAAGACTTATCTGGCTCACAATTTGAGGCCACCACGATGGGGGAAAGCCTGGCAGCGTGTGAGGCAGCTGGTCCTGTTCCATCCGAGTCAGAAACAGACAGAGAGGAATGCTGCAGCTCATCCTTTTGTTTTTCATTTTCATTTTAAAATCTTTTCACCAAAGTCTAGGGCTGCAGGTCCATGGGACAATTCTGTCCATACTCAAGAGGGGTCTTCCTCTTCCACTAAGCCTTCTGGAAACACCTTTATAGACAGAGACGTGTGTCTCCATAGTGCTTCAAGTGTGGTCAAGTACACAGAGCAGAACCATAATTCTTTCCGAAGCTTCCATTTCAATATGTCACATGAAGTCTCTAGGATGATAACCCACTACTACCAGACCAGTCTTACGTGAAATTCTACAAAGACTGAATATTTTGGGCTTAAATGGACTGTCTGGGAGGATTAACAGAATCATCGCAGTATACAGACTTCAAAGTAGTCTGGAAAATAGTGTAGTAAAGAAAATCAATTATTATTAAAGGCTTTTAGCACAGCCTCTGGCGTCAGATGGAGTGGGGCATCAAGTTCAACTCTTCCATTTTTTAACTGCATGACCTTGGGGGAGGAATTAAGTCCTGCCTGCCTCAGTTTTTCTACCTGAGAAATGGAGACAAAAACGTATATTTCATTGACTGTTGTAAGGGTTAAATCAGTCATGACTGGAGAGGGACTTATCTCCGGGTCTAGTTTATTATAAATGACCATCAGATGGCTGATGCTGTTGGCACCACTGCCAGGTCACTCCAGGATGGTCATCGTGAACTGAGGCCTGCCCAGAGGGCCTGAAGATGAGACATATTCCATTCCTGAAGGACATCACAGCCCAATTCGTCCTCTGTCCTCATTGTCTAACATGCATCTCTTTTCTCTATCACATCTACTTAAACAGTAGGATTGCAGTCTCTGATGTAACTTTTATACAGTAGGCACATCCCTGCGCATCTTTGTTTCCTTCACAGGGCATCTCTGTTTCCCCAGGGGTCAGTAAGCCACCCAAGGAGCTGAGATGCATCAGTGTGTTGGCTGTGAACACACGTACGGACATGGCAAAACTGGTGTTTATCCTCTGCGTTGTCACTGGAATGCATTGCTAATTCCAACTCAAACTCCTGGGACCAGACTTTAGGATGCTCCCCAACACTAACATCTAGATAGACTTTACTGGTGACTTAGAGGGGGCAGTACTTGTAAAAATCAATTTCCACCCAGTCCTACAGGATACTTCTGCACCTAGTGGTGTTACCCTTTCATTTGTGAAAGGAGAGACAGGGCCCGAAGGGATTCTAGAATCTGTAGACCTAGGCATCCCTACAGCCACAGCTGAAGACAGTGCTATGCTTCCATGTCCCTTAGGCAGCATCCCTGACTCTGAGAAATAGCGGCTCACATTCTGAGTTCCAGTTCAGCCTTGCTGACGATGCTGTGTTACCCTGGCGAGACCCCCTTAACCTCTCTTTACCCAGTACTTCTCTGAACACAGTGGCACCAATCACCATCTACGTGCATGGAGGGACTTCAGAGACCTTGACAATCTAAACCCATTTCCAAAAGTCCAGTGAATAGTGAAAGAGTCAAATAATTACAGAGATAATGGGAAATATGATAATGAGACCAATCTGTCTTTGTGGCCTTACACGGGACCTCACTAAAACCATTCAAATTATGAGACTCTTTATTTCCTCATACAGGAGTTTAGGGAGAATGAAAAGTCAGACCAGTACTACCTGGGGTTTGCTGATCGCCACATCTTGAAATTTCTACTGTGTGTCTAATCTGAATCCCACCTCCATTGCCCATACTCTTCCAGACCCTAAATGTCCTTGAATGAACGTGGATGAACCAGGAGCCTCCAGTCCCTGATTGTGTAGTCTCCTGTTCGTCTCTTCTCTGTGTCACTGATGTCTGGTACAGTGCTGGGACACAGTAGGAATTCTGGCTTAACGAGTACATCCCATTTTTGGAGCTGCAACAGCCCAAGCATTCATGTCACACTAGCTTATAGGCAGTGAGGCAGGCATCACACCTCCATATTACATCCAGACAGCACTCACAGTGTTTACTGGTGTGGTACATATCCCTGTAACCAAAATTTTATGGGGTTAAAGAACTAAACTTCCTATCTTCCATATGCATGTTTGACTGCATAAAGCAGTATGCAGCTAGGAAAGTACAGGAATGTGTAAGATTCAGCATCAGGTACCCTTTAAGTGGTTTGCAAATAGTAACTCATTTTGCGATAGAAAAGCCCCTGTGAATTGAATTTGCTATTAATCAGGAAATGGATGCACAGAGAGTTGAAGTGGATGTGTACGGACACACAGCCGGATGAAGAAGATGGGCACATAAACCCCGTTAGTTTGACTTGCAGAGTCTGTACGACTCAGCATCCCCCAACCAATGGCCTGTAATGTGGCTTTTATGTTCCCAAACGGCACCAAATCTTGTGAAGGCGTGCACCAAGCCTAGCACTTGGGTGGGGACAAAAACAGATGCTGTTCTTGTGGAGTTGTAGTCCAGAGGCAGGGGG